ATTAAAAGACAAGCTGAGAGTCTGTTTGAGTTCACTTGGTTTTTGTGTGGGATGTGTAGTTTGATATTGTATGCTAGTGACAGGAGAATCCATGCAAAGGCTTGACCATGTCTAAGAAGGTGCTGTGCACTGCAAAGGTAACGGGTCCAAGGATGGAGCCCTGAGGGCAACCATACATAGTAGATGAAGTTGGATATTGATGCGTGCCATGTCACCCAGTCATAGGCGTCGCAACCATTATATGTGAAGGGGACATGTCCCTCCCCACATTAAAAAAAACATTAATTTGGACCCCCCCACTTTCACTATGAAACATTAGTTCAGTCGACGCAGTTTCTCTTTCTTTGTGAACGAATCCATTCCACTTGATTAATAGGAGAATACTCAAACCACTAAAACCCCACTCCAGGTTTTCCTGGTTACCTCCAACTCTAAACACAGCAGTCTGCAGTGTTTCTGCTCTGAGTCTCCTGCCTCAGCAGAAAATGCACACAGGTGGAGGAGGTGGAGACACCTCTGTGTTGCTCACTCGCCAGTTTAGCAGCTTAGTGCAGGCAGTTGTTGACCAGGGGGGTTGATCATAAACATATATTCATGTTAGGAGGATGCTTGAGAGAATTGCTACGTAGCATGTTAGCTTAGCAGTAACTGACGCTGTAAGACGCAGCAGTTGAAAGAGACGCTGTGTGTTCAGGTGCATTAAAGTTGAAATATCTTTAAAACCTCACACCTTATTGTCCTCAAGCTTTGTGAGAAACATCATTTAGATGAGTAGTGTTGAACACAAGTAAAGAAAAAAAAGTCTAGTGGTGATGTTTATTTCGCTATAAACACAAATAGTGCTGACCTGATGCTGTACATTACAGTTAAAATGTCTTTTAAACCCACAGCTGAATTTACACAAAATTGGTGAGAAACCTGCTTTAAATGTGTGGAATTAAAGGAAATCTAGGTGAAATGCTGCTTTTTTGTTCACTAGTGTACACTTTTTTTGTGCGCGCACGCACACACACATCAGGGTGTCCCCCCCCCACATTACGGATGCTTCTGACGCCCTTACACCCAGTTAGGTACAACCATCAGCTGTATACTGTGAAAATACTGGATCTCATGCAGAATCCCAGAAATTAAAACTCAAAGGGTACCAGCATACCCAGAGATAATCCCAGTGCAAGTTTGAATGTACAGTGAACCCTCGTTTTTCACTGGGGTTACGTTCCAAAAAGAACCCGTGATAGGCAAAATCTGTGAAGTAGTAACCTTTATTTTTTTTACAATTATTATACAATGAAATACTCCATAATACATTCAAACCAAAGAACAAAACCTTTTTACAGGCCCAAGCATTTGTTTAACAAATAAAAGTGCTGTATAAATGTTTTTTACAAATAACTACTGTAACTACTGAGACTGTTTAGCCAATCAGAATGCAGAACACAATGCACGATGCAAATCCGTGAAGCAGCGAGACCGTGAAAGGTGAACCGCGTTATAGCGAGGGTTCACTTTAAATGAATAGGCCTTTGCCCCAGGTGTGAAATGTTATTGAAGATAAAGAATGATACAAAACAACTTTAATGGGGCCCAAGAACCCACACAGATGCTACTGTTTGCTTCATAACAGTGTTGCATTCTTGCAGTTCTTGTTTTTCTTTATGCAAACTTGATGAAACTGAAGTGGTTAAAAAGCCAACATTACAGAACACTGAAACAGAAGTAGATGTTCCACCAACTGGAGCATTCTGAGGCCTGTCGGCATTCTGTTGTGACAGTGTGAACTTTTCTCAACATTTGCAAAGACATTTATCAATTAAAGACACTCAAAAACAACTCGTACTTATGTTAAGTGGAAAAACTCGAGCTTGCAACTTTCAAAAGACTGCTGTCTTACCTTAACGTGAGTATCTCCCCATCAAAATATTTTGCATGCTCTGTTTGTGACTAGTTCCACTCTTGATGCATGTCAAAATATAAACTCTGGTAAGTGATTAAACATGTTTGTGGCAACATAGCATTCCATGACTCTTGTCAAATGCTTACTGATGAGGTGGGACACACAAATATAGATGATCAAAAATTATGATGTCTTTTCCACAGTATAAAGGGCTTAAAGTAATGTTGGGGAGTAAATTTAATATCCCTGATTATCTAAAATCTGCAACCGCATTGACCTGAATGATTTTAATAATATTTTTGCTGTGCAGCCTTTTCATTACAAACGGATTAAACTTCTTTAAACTATCTGTAATGACAGAACTCTTGTAATTTACCAAAGATAATGTAATTTTGCTGCGCTTTGGTGCAATGACAATAAAGCTGATTCTGATAAATTGGTCAAAACAACAATTAATGTTTCTCTGTACATTCCATGTACAACAGAGAGCAGAGCAGAGGCTGATGTTGAGAAGGAAGTTGTTGCAAATGTTATTTAGGATACTTTCATACCATAATCAAACTGGTGTAGCAAAGGTAGAAGTCCACTCCATTAAAACTAGCTGAAGCAGAGCTGAAAACCTGTAATGAGCAGATGATGGTTCATCCTTCCCTCTGTGCACTACACTCAAATCAGGTCATTAAGACTGCTGAAATGTTAGCAGCTAGCTGCATTTTCTACTCACATGGGTGCAGGGCAGTTTTTTTATTTTGGTCAAGTGAAGCCCACACCTCTGCCTATATATGTGTGTATGTATATATATATATATATATATATATATATATATATATATATAGGCTTTAACAGACTACTTGAGTGATCAACAGGTCGATTCCTAGGACATCTATCGAGTTTTTAAATTTCACGTCGAGCATTCACAGTGACTTCATTGTGTCACATGATTCGCACCGGGTTACTAGTCGAAGCTACCAAATGGATTCCTCCCAGCAGATGGACTGAGTGGAGCAGGCCCAGTCTTATCAAACAGGTAGAAATGCATCAATAGTATGGAAATATTTCACTAAAGATGAATCTTCCAGTTCAGCTACTGTAAAGAAACAGAAAATGAATCAACTTCCTGACTGTTTGCAGCTTGTTGCAAACTGGTGTTACACCATATTCTGTGACCACCGTATATTGTGACCGTAGGGGGCGGTGTTGCATGCACTGTTGCAGGTCACAGAATATGGTGTAACACCAGGTCCAATCCACCGAACCAGAACCGGCTTCTTATGACCTTGTTTCACAAAATAAAAGCAAAAAATATTAATCTCTAACACTATAAAAAAACTATAAACATATTAATCTCAAAAACTAAACCTAATGCGCACCACAGCTGGCGGTGGTGTGGGGTGGTCGTCCGTCCACTGTTTTTAGTTTTGTTTTTGACGTGCTGCACGTTTCTTCACTTTTGCAGCTTAATAATAAAAACTAAAAGTTTTGGTTTTCCTGTGACTTATTTGCAGTATGATAAATGGTAGGAGCATAATATACTCTCCTAATGTTTTGTTGGTCTTTTTTTTGTAAATAATAAATGATGGTTTTTATTTGCAGTTTTATTTTTTATTTATTTTTTCATCTTATGATCCTATGACATCATCAACTACTCTAGTTCTACTAGAGTTTTATTATGTTAATGTCAAGTTTTTAAATTATGTAGTCGTTCAACCCCTAATATGTATGTATGTATATGTGTATGTATATGTGGACCTACAGTCCCATATGCCCAGGCCTAACGGCATCAACAATAATAAAAACATTATTAATATTAGTGTTATTATTTTATTATTATTATTGTTATTATTATTATTATTATTATTGGGTGGCATGGTGGCTCAGTTGGTAGATTTGTTGTCTCTTAAGGAGAAGGTCGCCAGATCAAATCCCAGCCAGGGAACTTTGTGGAGTTTGCATGTTCTCTCCATGCTGCGTGGGTTTTCTCCAAGTATTCTGTTTTCCTCCCACAGGTCAAAAACATGCATGTTAGACTAACTGGTAACTCTAAATTGTTCCTTGGTGTGAGTGAGAGAGTGAATGGTTGTTTGTCTCATTTGTCTCTATGTGTCCCTGTGATGGACTGGAGACGGTAGGGCCCTGCCTTTCGCATAGTGACTGCTCGATATGGACACCAGTGATCCCCATTTTCCAGAAAGGAAGAAGCGAGTAAAGATGATTGATGGATGGATGGATTTTTTCTTCACTCAACCTTTATTTATACAGGCTAGCTTCATTGAGCCAGAGGGACTCATTTACAAGAAGGACCTGTTCCAGACAGAACATATAAAGTACATACAACAACAACAGTAAACAATGACAACAATAAACTACAGTAAAAATGCAGTTAAAATAAGAGTAGTGTACAAAACAATAAATCTGGGTAAAATGGTGAAATATTAACAACAAGAACATATTTGCTTTGATTTTTCTATTGACATTATCAAATGTTCGAAACCTCTTAAAGAAATCAAGATGGACAACTTCAGTTCCTATTGCAACCTTGATTTCACCTTGATGCATGGATGGATGGATGGTTGGATGGATTATTATTATTATTATTATTACGCATTATTATTCTAAATGTTGGTGTGACAGCCAATGACTGCATGAAGCTAGTTGAACAAAGAAAGAGAAAAAGTGGAATAAAGTCTTAATTTTGTTGCATTATAAACTTTTTGTTTAGTCATTATTTAATAGCAAATAATTGTATTATGCAACATAAAAGCATACAAATTATCTAATGAATTTGGAATAACTTACCTTAAGTACTTGATAAAATAAAAATAAAAAACAGTACAGTAATAAAATTTGCATATATTGAAGAAATATTTTAAATTTAGTTTGAACATGATCGATCCCTGCCATTACCAGCTGTGACTTTTTCCATCCTCATGACCATAACACCTGAACACTCACATCCCAATGGTTTAACTTTCAGATTAGCATTTAGAGCTATGGAATGTAAAATAATGTTTCATTTAAAAAAACTTTTTTCCCCCCTGTTTGTTCATTGTTTTTCTGTGTTTGTTCCTGTTGTCTCCTTCTCCATGTTGTGATGTGGTGCATCTAGTGGTCTGCAGCCCTCTCTGGACAGGGTTAGGAGTGCTAGCACCAACTGTCTGACTCCAGACAATCATGCCCCCTCACCAGAGACTGAAAGGTACCAGCCTCTGCTCCTACCCTTCCTCCTCTAGTCCTCCTCTAGTTTTTAGTCCACAGCTGTTCCTTGTCCTCATAGCTATTTGTTTCTTGAATGATTCTTATGCCACATATATTTTCTAGTGATTTTTCCCCTTCAACACCCTATTCACGCCACCATTTAGCATTGGCAAAGTGTCAACTGGTTGCCGTTTCAGGGTTAGTCTTTTTAGGCTCAGAGCAACACTCATAGGTGACCTATCACATCAAACTGAGGGTTAGGCTACAAAGTGGGATGTAGAGATACAGGCAGCTGTAATTTTTAAATTTAGGCAAAATAGGACAAATAAATACTCTATGGAAATTAAATGTCTGTAATATAATTCTTAAGAACGTTTTGAAGCACTTTTCTGAGTAGTACCAAATAACATGATTTTGAGCAGAAAACCCTTAAATTTTTGCTACTTTCTCTGCGCCTTATGACATGATCAGGCTGTTCTGGTTGAACCCAAGTGCAGGCAGAGAGCAGGAGGACTCAGCAGCAAAAATAAGTATCTATTTTACGAACAAAAACAAAAGTTCTGACAAGACAAAAAACACTTGCATTACGGATGGAAACGACACAGATCATAGGTAATAGGTACAGTAGCTAATGCTCAGATGCAAAGGGAGTAACAAGACAGACTGTTACGTCCACCAAAGACACAACATATTAAAGGAGGACAAGGGACTCACAAATAGGGGTTCAAACATTCAATTTATTCAGGCGCTTCCTGCAGAAGAAGACAAAAAGAACCCCAATTCCCGTGGCCAACAAAAAAAAAGGACACAAAAACCCAAAGTATCAACTTAAAGCTGGACCTGGTGAGCTAGTCAAACAGAACTAAAAAGGTACCGCAGCACGGGCCAACCTTATACAGGGCCGACGAAGCCACTGGGTACCAGACAAAAACAAACAAAAAAACCTATTGTAAAAGGAGAGGCAAAAACAGGGCTACCAGTTCCACCAGGCCAAAGTTACAAAACGTATGCGAAAAGTTTTAACAAAAATTATCTGTTGTTGCTGAAGCTGCCAGCCACAGCTCCAGGTTGAGGAAAAAAACAAAGGCCCCAGAGAAAAAACAAGGGCCACCTAAGAAAAAGGTCCAAAAATGTGGGGAGTCTTTGAGGATCCAAAAAGAGGGAGTCTGAGGTAAAAAGAGCAAAAAGAGCCCTGAGAGTGCCAAGAGCCAAGAGAGGGAAAGGGGACAAAACCTCTCTGAGACCAGCCTCTTAAGTACAGTAGGTGTGGCTGAAAAAGCCACAGCCCAGAACAATTAAAGGCTGATTAACCAACCCAGGGGCAGCACGGTGGCACAACTGGTAGAGCTGCTGCCTCTCAGCGAGCAGGTCCTTGGTTCAAACCCCGGTCCAGGGGTCTTCTGGGTGGAGTTTGCGTGTTCTCTCCGTGCATGCGTGGGTTTTCTCCGGGTGCTCCGGTTTCTTCCCACAGATCAAAAACATGCATGTTAGGCTGATTGGTAACTCTAAATTGTCCCTAGGTGTGAGTGAGAAGTGAACGGTTGTTTGTCTCGTTTTGTCTCTATGTGGCCCTGTGATGGACTTGCGACCTGTCCAGGGTGTACCCCGCCCCTCGCACAGTGACTGCTGGACATGGGCACCAGCGACCCCCGTGACCCAAAATGGAATAAGCGGGTAAAGATAATGGATGGATGGATGGATAGCCAACCCAGAACCCAAGACATGACCAAAGGGACAAAACAATAAGGCCAATGTGCCCCAGGCACATAACACAGGCTATAAATACAAGATGTTAATGAGACAAAGTGGGAAAACACCTGCAGTGATTAGATTAAGGACAGGTGTGCACAGGAGCAGAAACACAAGGAATAGATAAATACTGGAAATTTGCAGAAAGACAGGAGAGACAGATAATCATATCATAACCCCCACCTCAAGAGGTGGCAGCTGCCATGCCCAAAGCGAGACCCCACGTAACTTGGGTGGGAAGGGGGAGGAAGGGCACAAAAAAAGTAACACCAAGTACAAAGTAGGAAAAAAGGAAAAGCGGCAGGTAGGAACCTTGGAATAATGAAAAAGGAGGACCAACCAAGCCCAATAGTTCAAGTGGACAGTCAGGAGACCATCCAGCATGGAACGGGCATCCAGGTGGATGGCTGGGAGACCATCCAGAGTGGTGAGGTGTTCAAGCGGCTGGCCAGGAGACTGTCCATTGTTTGTCAGGGGTGGCATCCGCCTGGATCCTCCCTGACTGAGGTCGAAGAGAGGCAAGGAGACAGCTGGAGAGACTGCAGATGAACCAGCGATGGGAGCTGCAGGCGGTGGCTTCGTCAAGAGAACTGCAGCAGGTCATGAGACTGGAGACCCTGCAGCAGGCAATGAGAAAAACAGATCTGCAGCTGGCTTGGAGATCTCAGAGGCTGCACCTGGTGTAGAGACCCCAGAGTCTGTATCTGGTGTGGGAACCAGGGAGTCTGTGGCTGGTGTGGGAACCAGGGAGTCTGTGGCTGGTGTGAAAACCACAGAGGGGTCTGTGGGTCATCATCCTCGATGCACACAGACACAATGGAGTGTGCATAGTCATGTCCGACCCCCGCGGAGACACTGCAAGGTGGAACGTCATGGCCAACCCCTACAGAGATGCTGGGAAGTTCAGCTGCTTCTTTGGCTGATCAGGACTTGGTTGCTTCTTCGGACGATCAAGACTCGGCTGCATCGTTGACTGAGGCTGGTTATGCTGCTTTGTCAGCTGAAGAGGCGTGGCTGCTTCAGGGGCAGCAAAAACTTACGTTACATGTGGAGCATACACAGATCTTGGGAATGTGGAAAGATAGGTAGCTAATGCCTGGATACCAAGGGACACATGACAGACTATAAATACAAGAAATTAATGAGACGAAGTGGGAAACACCTGCAGTGATTAGATTAGGGACAAGTGTTCATATGAGCAGAAAAACAAAAAATAGAGAAACACCGGAAATGTGCAGAAAGACAGGACAGACAGATAATCGTCTTACCTTAGCAAAGCTTTTTCCTTTTCAAGTCTTAATACTAGTCGTAACTTTAAAAGACTAGACTTAACTGTAAATAACTAGTCTTAACTTTAAACAACTAGTCTTAATTTTAAAAGGCTAGTCTTAACTGTAAAGAACTTAATTGTAAATGACTAATCATAACTGTAAACAGCAAGTCTTAACTTTAAACAACTAGTATTGACTTTAAACAACTAGTCTTAACTGTAAACGACTAGTCTTAACTGTAAACGACTAGTCTTAACTAGGGATGCACCGATCCACCTTTTGAAATTCCGATCCAATCCCGATACTTAGATCTGAGTATCGGCCGATACCGATCCAGTTCCGATATCATGATCATCATTGATTTTATATGAGGCTGTAATAATCTCCTCTCAAGTACAATTTGTACAAATATATGCATGCATGTCCAAAAAGGCAACTTGAGGTAAGTTTTATTAAGGTTAGATAAGTTTTAAAGTTAGAATTAAATTCTGCTAACACAAAACATGTTTCTTTTTATTCCTAGTTTTAAAGTGGATATTAAAGTGATTAATTTAAGTGATTGTTTAAAGTTGTTTTATATTTTATAAGAGGCAGATATAAGATTTTTTTTCTTCTTTCTGCACTCTTTTCATTCAACATTTTCTTTTTGATAATTTTTTTCAAATTTTGTTTCATTTAAATGAATGAATAAATGAATTAAATTAAATTTAAATGTTAAATGGCTTTAAACATCTACTAAGTTCATGGCATAAACCAACAGACATGTTCCTGTTTTTAGTATTTGACATCACTTTATAATGTAGCTGCTTTTGTTTTAAATATATATAATTTTCAAATCATGTTTTTTATGATTGTCTACTGTTGTACTGATAAATATCTCCTGCAGGGTAAACTATATCTTGGCTGCAAGTATCAAACTGTGAAATCCTTCGTTTTCTACAACTGATAGTGGTTGGTCATTAATTATGATGAAGTTTAGCAACTTCTCTGTAAACATTTGAGCTCCGTGGTTTCAGCGACGTCTTCTTCTTGTTCAATCCAAAGCAGGCAGCCTGATTTGGGGCAGCCGCGCTCAGTCTGTCCCTCCTCAGAGACGGGCAGACTGAGCGGGGCAGATTGGACGCGGCAGGCCGGGGTCGAGTCGCTTGTTTTGGGTTGAGCAAAGAGCAGTGCCCCGCTGAAGCCACGGAGCTCGAATGTCCATCGTAAAACTAACTTTACCGCGGTTTAATGTGGCGCTATGGCTCTGCAGACATTGCACGATGCTGTCTTGTTTTGTGGTGTTTAGTGTAAAATACTTCCACACAGCGGACATGTTTAGATGAAAAGTTTGTTAGCTGTTAGCCACAGTGCTGCTAACTCAGCCCTCATGTTGTAGCTGGCTGCAAACTATGAACTGGATTTCCTGAATGTGAGGCGGGTCTTATTACTCTGGGCTCATGAGACACGCCGCCGTTCAGGAAATCCATTCCATAGTTTGAAGCCAACTTGCAGCACAACCACAGACATGCATGGATCGGAAATATCGGCAGGTGGATTGAAAAATACGATACGTAAATTTTGCTGGTATCGGAGGCCGATACCGATACTGGATCGGATCAGCCCCATCCCTAGTCTTAACTTTAAAAGACTTTTCTCAATTGTAACCGACTAGTCTTAACTTTGAACAACTAGTCTTAACTTTGAACGACCGGTCTTAACTTTAAACGACTAGTCTTAACTTTAAACGATTAGTCTTAATTGTAAACAACTAGTATTAATTAATCAAAGTAACCTTCTCACAGTATTTCTGTCTGAATGAGCGGATCACTTCATCCTTCATCCTGTTCATGTTCACCATGCCAACATTTACCTCTCAGTGGGAATCTTCAGCGAGGATGCCTCCAAGGGTGTTTTGATGTGGTTTTAATATAGCAGCAAAAGGAACGTGCAACTTTTAAAATTATTATTATTGTTTTTCTAAAGCAAAACGTAACTTCCTTCAAGATAGAAAAATAAATTGTAGGATAAAATTACTTACACGTACGTACATAAGTTTCAGTGTTAGCTTCAGCTGCCCAGCATTGTTTAGGGTGTTGTGTTGCCTCTGGGGGCTCTAAGTGAACAAAGGCATCGTGCTTCACTCTGTTTGTAATGCAGGCAACTGTTTTTGTGTACACATAGAAAGCCTTTGTCCCATTCTCTGCCTCGACGGCGTCCGGCAAGTCCTCGGATTCTTATCCAACATGCTTCCCCTGAAGATGACAGGTACCCTGTGGTGCACCCCCACCCCCTCTTCCTCCTCCACTCTGGAACTGATGACTTCTGGAGCTTGACTTGTGCCTTAAAATCTGACACTGTTAAAACACAAAGTATTAACTGTTGAGTTAAAGTGAGAAGATAAAAGTATTTTCTCTCAAATATTTTCCCTTTGTTTTAAATGTAACATTTTTGGAAGCATAAATTTGATCCTCTTAAAGCTGCCGTGCATCTCCATAGTCCAGAGGAGAAGTTTCAGGCAGATGTCAAGCTCTATGTGATCTTTGCTCTTCTTTCTTTGCTGGCACCGATCCTCCTCCTGTGAACAGTTTAAAGTGAATGTCTGTGGAAAGTTTAAATTCTGGTGTAGTGCCTGTGACAGTTGTTCAGTTTGTAGTTAGATTAGCAACAGCAAATTTTAGTTGTCATTAATGTTCTTTTAGTTTTGTCCCGACTTCCTGTTCTTTCTTTATACTTTCCTGTGGAGGTTTGTGTGGATTGGATCTTAAAGCAGTCGTCACTGGTTACAGCATTTTCCTGCTGCATTCGCTTTTTGCAGTCCACGTTTTGTTGTGCGGCTCTGCAGCTTCTGTTTTCTCTCTAAGTGTTGCTGTTTTCAAGGCCTGGTGCTCAGAGATGATGTGACCTCCATAATTCATTTGATAAGTGTGATTGTGTTTGTGTGTGTGGTTGGTGCGTGCATCATCTTGTCATTTTCATGTCCATGAACGGAGAATATGGATGTTACTTCCCTCTCAAGAGACTTTAATTCACTTCAGTACAAAGAGGTACACTCACTGTTGTGCACAAACACACGTACACAAGCTCAGTTACAGATGACACCTCTTATTTCATTTTATTTAACCTTTATTTATACTTTTTCCTATCACCAACCATCAATCCATTATAGCATGCCTCCTTTTCTGCATCATAAACTTGTTCAGCCAATGACAGCCCCTCAAGAGTTGAGCTTTTCTTAAGCCAAAGTATTTATCCTCCCATCATGTTTTCATCCATCCACCCATTCATTCATTCATTTGTTGATTCTGTTTTGTGCTGTTCCCTTCACTCATGCACCATTCTCCAGGCAGCCTCGGATTCTGGAAAGCCCAGAGTGTCAGACAGTTGGCAGGAAGCAGTCTGACAGCGGCAGGTAAGATACGTGTTGTGGACCCAGCACCAACAGAAAACAGGTCCAACCTGCATCTCCAAGTCCATTTTAGAAGAACCAGCTTCCTCAAGACTTTTTGTACAGTTTTTTTTTTTTTTTCTGGGTCCGTGAACGCTTGTCCATAAAAAATATTGTTCAACTGCCTATATATATATATATATATATATATATATATATATATATATATATATAATTCTACATTACTGTAGCTTTGCAGAATACAAAGGGAAATAAAAAAAGAGCAAAATTACATAATTTTTTGTTTGATATGCATTCATTGTCAGAGGAGGTTTAATTATATGTTTTTTGACAAAGATGGAGTGAATTGTCTTAATAACTGACAAACCGATCCAGCTTAATAACTTAAGGAAGCTTCTCCCTGGTCTGATTTACACCTGGACAAAAACAACACTGCTCCTCCTTAATCAAGGTTTGATAATCTGCTGTAACCTCCCTTTCAACACTAGCTATGTTTACATGGACATAAGTAATCGGATTAAACGGCCGTTTGGAATAAAAATGTGTCATGTAAATGCCCTGCTCGGTTTATTTTTTGTTTATTCAGCGTGACCTGAAAAAATTTGTGATCAGAACGAAACAGGTGGTTTACAACAAAACCGGAATGGTGTCCATGTAAACGCTTAATCTGTTCTTTTTTTTTTTCTGATCGTGAAAAACTGACTTCAAATTCAAATTCAAAAATACTTTATTAATCCCAGAGGGAAATTATTTGTTGTTGTAACTCATTATCCTCATTTCATTAAGAGATATTATAGATACTGATGGCTGTAGACTGGAAGGATATCTTGTAAAGGTCCATCCCACATTAGCTCCTAAGAAACTGGCCGCAGATGCCATCCGATCTGTCCACCCAGACTCAGCTGGCCTCTCGGTTCCCCCAGGCTGTAGGACCGAATGCCGGGCAGAACTCCTCCCAGCAGTCTGCCGAGCTCCTCATTGCTGCGGATAGCCAACTGTAGGTGCTGAGGGACCATACTGTCCTTCTGCTGTCATGAGCCATGTTTCCTGCTAATTCCAGGTTGTCAGTGGTCAGGCACTCGAGTACAGCTGGCAGGTAGATGAGAATGCATCTACAGAACATCCTTTTCAACTCATTTGGGATTTGAGGCTGCAGTTGAGATATTATTTGAGCTTTTGAGATGTTAATCAGCTGCTGTTGGTTGTAGAAAACTGCCTCGTTGCCATGGTTACGCATCATAACAAATGTCCAAAACTAAAAAAGTTTCAATAAAAATCCTTCCAGCTGCACACCACCCGATTCCAGAGGAAACAATCATCCAAAAAATGTGATTTCCATCCAGAAAAAGAGGAATTAACGTTTCCAAAAGCAAAATCTCAGAATGAATGTGACAGCGCTGCTCCAACATGCAGCCACCTTGAGCAGCGCAATTCTAGAACTTGACTGCACATGCGCGACCTATGTCATTTCCGCCTGGCTAATGCTAATAATATTAGCATGTCGGGGAAGCAAAACTAGTCGATCGACAAATTTCTACTAGAAACTTTGAAAGAGCTCAAAATGATCTGTATTACCTGTAACTCAGTCAGGGAGTGCAGTAACCTCTCCACTGTCATTAAAACCTGTTGCAGGTCCATTTTGGGTGCTCAGGTTTGTTTACGTTCATCCTGTAAGTGAAATGGAAGTAGAATTTCATCTGTGTTTTTTTAAGGAGCGTTTACAACTCTGCGCATGTCACTACTTCTGTTCAAAATAAAACCCGCTGCATGTAAATGCTCGTCGTGAACAAATTGTGCCCATGTAAACACATTTGGATTATTTAATCCGAAAACATTTCAATCCGATCAAAACATTTTGAGCATGTAAACATAGCTACTCTGGAGTAAACTTTCCCAGGGAGATTGAGCAGTGAGACCCCCCTACACTTGGAACACATTAACTGCCCCCACCACTCCACTTTGCCAATCCAAAGGTTTTGTTCCTCTCAACCACACCACCAAGAAGAGGTGGGTCAGCCACAACAGCCTCACAAAGTCCAGAGCTTGTAGAATCTTTATTAGGGAAAGTCTTGTCCTTTGCTGTCACCCTGCCACCAAGGTGCTTTTTACTACGTCAGTAACCTTCAGTGTAACAAACTGAGGGAGTGGTGGCGCAGAGGTTAGAGAAGGTGAACCTGTGATCGTAAGATTACTGCTTCAACTCCCAGCACCGACAACATCAAAATGTGTGTGGGAAAGGTCAACCACCCACAACCACCTCCACTTTAATTTGTCCCACTGTGTGCCCTTGAGCAAGACCCTTAACCCCCACCATCTGCTCCCCCAGGGCACCCTAGATAGCAGCTCTGCTCCAAACAGAGGGCTGTGGTAGCTCAGTGGTCTGTGGTTGAGTCAGGAAGGGCATTCTGCGTAAAAACAATTGCCAAGTCTTCATGTGACTTAGTTCACTGTGGTGACCCCTGAATAAGGGAGCAGCTGAAAGAAGAAGAAAAACAAACAAACAAAATAAAAAAATGTCAGTGTAACAAACTGGCCTTCCTTTGACTCATCAGAGTCTGCCTCTTCTTTGGTAGACATGTCTGAATTGAGTTCTTCAATGCCTTCCTTCTAATACTTCATAGCATCTGCAGTTCAGGTCAGGATTTCCCAACCAAGCACAAACCTGGGATGGGTCCAAGGTCCCAACCTTGTCAGGACCTCCTTGAGACCAATTGAAAGTCCTTTTCCAGGACTGCCACAAATTTCTCTCACATCCAAGTTTTAGCCTCTGCCATTACTAAAGTTGTCGTCTTTTTGCTCATTTGGAGCATATTGATAGATTTATAAAAAATCTTCTGGATTCTTCAAGTCCTGAAGGCCTTTGTCTTTAACTTCATGGTTTTTACTCTGCGTGTGAAGATGTTTCTTTCAAATGTTCATATTGTTTAGTCACCGTGTTATTTGTGTGGTTACCAACTGAAGTTTTAACATCCATCCATCCATCCATCCATCCATTCTCTTCCACTTATCCAGGGTCGGGTCGCCGGGGTAGCAGCCTAAGTAGGGAGGCCCAGACTTCCCTCTCCCCAGCCACGTGGGCCAGCTTCTCCAGGGGAATCCCAAGGTGTACTCAGGCCAGCCGAGAAACATAGTCCCTCCAGCGTGTCCTGGGTCTTCCTCTGGGTCTCCTCCCAGTGGGACGTGCCCAGAACGCCTCACCAGGGAGGCGTCCAGGAAGCATCCTAACCAGATGCCCGAGCCACCTCAACTAGCTCCTCTTGATGTGGAGAAGCAGCGGCTCTACTCTGAGTCCCTCGCGGATGACTGAGCTTCTCACCCTATCTCTAAGGGAGAGCCCAGACACCCTGCGGAGAAAACTCATTTCAGACGCTTGTATCCAAGATCTCGTTCTTTCGGTCACAACCCAAAGCTCATGACCATAGATGAGGGTAGGAACGTAGATTGACCAGTAAAATGAGAGCTTCGCCTTTTGACTCAGCTCTCTCTTCACCACGACAGACCGGTACAGCACCCGCTTCACTGCCGATGCTGCATCTATCTGCCTATTGATCTCATACTCCATTTTTCCTGCATTTGTGAACAAGACCCCAAGATACTTAAACTCCTCCACTTGGGGCCGGACCTCCTCCCCGACCCGGAGAGGGCACTCTACCCTTTTCTGGCTCAAGACCATGGCCTTGGATTTGAAGGAACTGATCCTCATCCCGGCCACGTCACATTTGGCTGCAAACCTCTCCAGCGAAAGCTGTAGATCACGACCTGATGAAGCCAATAGGACCACATAATCTGCAAAAAACAGAGAATCAATCCTAAAGCCAACAAAACGGATCCCCTCAACACCTTGGCTGCGCCTAGAAATTCTGTCCATAAAAGTTATGAACAAAATCGGTGACAAAGGGCAACCTTGGAGGGGTCTAACTCTCACTGGGAGGACTTACTGTCAGCAATGCAGCCCAAGCTCTGAAACCGGTCGTACAGGGACCTAACAGCCCGTATCAAAGGGCCTGGTACCCCATACTCCCGGAGTACTCCCCGCAGGGCTGCCCAAGGGACATGGTCGAACGCTTTCTCCAAGTCCACAAAGCACATGTAGACTGTTGGGCAAACTCCCACGCACCCTCCAGGACCCTGCTGAGGGTGTAGAGCTGGTCCAGTGTGCCACGACCAAGAAGAAAACTGCACTGCTTCTCTTGAATCCGAGGTTTGACTATTCGATGGACCCTCCTCTCCAGAAGCCCCAAATAGACCTTAAAAGGGAGGCTTAAGAGCGTGATCCCCCTGTACTTGGAACACACTCTACAGTCCCCCTTTTTGAATAGGGGGACCACCACCCCAGTCTGCCAATCCAGGGGAACTGCCCCCGATGTCCTCGCAATATTGCAGAGTTGTGTTAACCAACACAACCCCACAACATTCAGAATCTTAAGGAACTCTGGGCGAATCTCATCCACCCCTGGGGCCCTGCCACCGAAGAGCTTTTTAACCACCTTGGTGACCTTAGCACCAGAGATTGGAGAGCCCGATCCAAAGTCCCCAGGCTCTGCTTCCTCAGTGGAAGACATGCCGGTGGGATTGAGGAGGTCTTTGAAGTACTCTGTCCACTGACCCACGACATCCCAAGTTGAAGTCAGCAGTACACCACCTCCACTATAAATAGTGTTGGTGGACCAGAATCGCCTCGAAGCTGTACAAAAGTCATTCTCTGTGGCCTCTCTGAACTCCTCCCACACCTGCATTTTTACCTCAGCGACCACCCAAGCCGCATGCCGCTTGGTCTGCCAGTACCCATCAGCTGCTTCCGGGGTCCCACAGGCCAAAAAGTCCCTATAGGACTCCTTCGTCAGCCTGACAGGATCCCTCACTGCCGGTGTCCACTACCGGGTTAGAGGGTTACCGCTGCGACAGGCACAACAACCTTGTGGCCACAGCTCCGATAAGCCGCCTCGACAATAGAGGCGCGGAACATGGCCCACTTGGACTCAATGTCCCCCACCTCCCCCGGAACGTGTTCAAAGCTCTCCCGGAGGTGGGAGTTATAGCTCCGTCTCACGGGAGACTCTGAAAGACATTCCCAGCAGACCCTCACAATACATTTGAGTCTGCCAGGTCTGACCGGCATCCTTCCCTACCATCGGAGCCAACTCACCACCAGGTAGTGGTCAGTGGACAGCTCCGCTCCTCTCTTCACCCGAGTGTCCAAGACATGTGGCCGCAGATCAGATGAGACGGCAACAAAGTCGATCATCAAACTGCGGCCTAGGGTGTCCTGGTGCCAAGAGCACGTATGGACACCCTTATGCTTGAACATGGTGTTCGTGATGGACAATCCATGACGAGCACAGAAGTCTAATAACAGAACACCATTCGGGATTAGATCAGGGGGGCCATTCCTCCCAACCACACCCCTCCAGGTCTCATTGTCATTGCCCACGTGAACATTGAAGTCCCCCAGTGGAACAAGGGAGTCCCCAGGAGGCACACTCTCCAGTACCTCCTCCAAGGACTCCAAAAAGGTTGGGTAATCTGAGCTGCTGTTTGGAGCATAAGCACTAACAACAGTCAGAACATGTCCCCCCACATGTAGGCAGAGGGAGGCTACCCTCTCGTTCACCGGGCTGAACCCCAATGTACAGGCACCAAGATGGGGGTCAACAGGTATGCCCACTCTTGCTCGGTGCCTCTCACCAGGGGCAACTCCAAAGTGAAAGAGTGTCCAACCCCTCTCAAGGAAACTGGTTCCAGAGCCAGAACCATGAGTTGAGTTGAGTCTGACTATTTCTAGCCAGAATCTCTCAACCTCACACACCAGCTCAGGCTCCTTCCCCACCAGAGAGGTGACATTCCACGTCCCCATAGCCAGCTTCTGTAGCCGAGGATGAGACCGCCAGGGTCCCTGCCCTCGGCCACCACCCATCCCACATTTCACCCGACCCCTTTGGCCCCTCCCACAGGTGGTGAGCCCATGGGAAGGGGGACCCATGTCGCCTCTTCAGACTGTGCCCGGCCGGGCTCCATGGGTAAAAGCCCGGCCACCAGGCGCTCGCCAGCGTGCCCCACCTTCAGACCCAGCTCCAGAGTGGGGCCCCGGTTACCCATGTCTGGGCGAGAGAGCATTGTTTCCATATATTGTACTCATCATAAGGGGTCTTTGGGCTACACTTTGTCTGGTCCCTCACCTAGGACCTGTCTGCCTTGGGTGACCTTACTAGGGGCATGAAGCCCCTGACAGCATAACTCCTAGGATCAATGAGACACTCAAACGCCTCAACCATAGTAAGGTGGCATCCCAAGGAGGGGAAGTTTTAACAAATCAAGTTAATCTTGAAGTTCAGCAAGTATAATGTCGTACTTTTATCTTATTTTTTCACACCACTGTTTATTCTTGTCTGCCTGTTATTTTTGCCCCATGTGAGTTTTACCTGCTGACACGTTTGTGTAGCACTTGTGTGATTGTGCGTTACTGTGAGTGTTTGTGCTTCAGACTGAGGGAGGAGATCTTGATCCTTTAAACTGTTAGAGGGAAAAGCTGAGCAGCTGTCACCAGTGAATGTGTAAAGTGTTTGTTGCTGCGGTGTGGATTTGTCTATTATTGTCACTTGTGCTTTGCTGAAGTGATGAGTTTGCTTGTTAATTTTGCTAAATGTGGTCTGTTGAACTGTTAGATCCTCATAAAAAACATAAAAAATTACCTGAACAAATTTTATAGTCCTTAGCTGGACTTTTCTATTACGAATGACTGCTTGTCAATAACATAAAATTATGAATAATAAATAAGATAAAATTATATAATAAGAATAATATTTTAACCAGGATTTTACTTGCAAGGTCACGTTTAGGACAGGTTACATAAATATACATAAAGTACACACGAACATCATACATATACATAAAGTACACACATGAAGACCATAAATATACATAAAGGACACACAAAGATCATTAGTATACATAAAGTACACACAGGAAGACCATAAATATACATAAAGTACACACATGAAATCATAAATATACATAAAGTACACACATGAAGACCATACATATACATAAAGTACACACGAAGATCATTAGTATACATAAAGTACACACAGGAAGAACATAAATATACATAGAGTACACACATGAAGACCATAAATATACATAGAGTACACACATGAAACCATAAATATACATAAAGTACACACATGAAGACCATAAATATACATAAAGTACACACAAAGATCATACATATACATAAAGTACACACATGAAGACCAGCCACGAGAATATGCCTCAAGCTGCCTTCCCAGCTTGCTTTTATACCCTTATCAGTTCAGCTGGGCTCAGAACACGGAGGTGTCCTTGGAGCCAGCTGCATGATGCATCCTCAACCAGCTACTCATCCAGCTTTCTACGCTAACCCAAACATATGATTCATGGGCAGAGTAAAGATTATCAGCCATAGTAATAGAAACATCCATAACCTTTGACTAAAAACTCTCTAACACTATGAAATAAAAGCATACTGTTATTCATAGTTTTTCTCTATCTGGAATAGTGGTTGATGCTCAAACTTTTCAAACTGCAGTCATTTCAGGTTGGCTGACTCATTGGGTCTCTGGGAGACTGGATTCAGATGAACATGTGGAGAAGTGATGGGGTTGTATTTAATGTCTGTGTGTTGCTTCACTGTTTAAACCTTGATTTGCTGCTCTGTTTGGCTTCATGATGTCTCACTGTCACTCCCCAACAAGCTCCTGCTTCACTTTGTTACTATGAAGCTGATGTCTAATTTAGAAACTCAGTCATTTCTGAGGGCTCTATTGTTCCTTTTTCTTTTTTGTGCTATTGCAGGTGATATTTGTCATCTTCCTTCATACATTTGAAATGACTTTGTGTAAACAGGGTAAACAGAAGAATGGGAGCAGTTAAGTGTCCTTTCCTCTCTTGCTTGCGTCTATTCTCCCTCCCATTTACTTTCCGTGTCTTCTCTCTGTCTTTACTCTTGTGTTGGTTCATGTTAGGGGCCTCCTGCAAGGCGGTCCAGGAGCATCTTCATCAGCTCGCAGAGTGAGGCAGCTCCCCCAGCTTCCCCCCCAGACCAGTACTGTAGAACAAGGTATGAGGACTGATTATTACAATTTTTTTTCCTGAATAAAAGTAAATGAAAATGATCAAGGTCATCCAATCACTGTCTTTATTTCTGTGAATTGATCATAAAGAGAGAGAGAGAGAAAAAACAAGAAACCAGCCAACAGAGAACACAAGCTAGTATATCTCGTGCCAGTCCCTAAACCAGGTAAATGGTGAGGGTTGTGTCAGGAAGGTCATCCACTGTAAAACACTTTAGCCAAGGACACTAAATCGGTTGAGGCTCGCATTAACAATGACTGCTACTGGTGCTGTTGACAAACAAGGTCCCGTTGGAAACTGTGGAGAATCAAGATGTCAGAAGTCCCCATGTTCATAGGAGCACTGGGTGCTGTGACCCCCAAACTGGAAGGCAGGCTCCAACAGATCCCAGGAAAAACCTCAGAGATCTCTGTCCAGAACAGCTCAGTCCTAGGGACAGCTGATATACTGAAAAGCACTTTTCAAAACTTTCAATAAAATCTGTTCAGTGGTTCATGGAATATGTTGCAAAAAGACAGAGTATAAGATGTTGATCAGTCTCAGCTACCACCACATTTTTCTGGTCATAGTTCATCATGTGCAACATGTGTGGTGGGTTCTAACCGGGCTTTGGCGGATCTGCTCCATCTGTCTTGTGTTTGTCCTCACTCAGCTTATATCTAATGAAGTACCAGGCAGTCATCAGTTTGCTTGTGTTTTTTCAGCCCTGGTAGCAGAAGAGCGAGTTCGTCAACTCCAGATGAGGGTTCATTCTAATCGGATGTCATCTGCCCCCACTTCCAGCCAACAGGACCTGGACCAAGCCCTCAAGAACAAACGAGAGGTGTGTGACTGTTTTTACTAAATCAGTCTCACATCAACATTAAACACAGGCCTAATTTTGATTTATTTTTTCTCTTTGTGAAAGTACTGTATGTCTATGGGAAATGTTTTGGTTTGATAGTCAAATATTACAAAAATGTTTTCTTCATTAATATAAATTATTTGTACAAATAATTTCAACAAAAAATGAAATACTCATGTTCTGCCGTTAGGTGAGGAATAAAAAGACCACACAGAGCTCCAACTATATATTTGACGTTGGAGCTCCACAATATATTAAGTTCTCTGCAGAACAAACACCCTGAGGCTCTTTACATGGTAGCCGGAGACTTTAATCATGTGAATCTAAAGGGCTGTTTCCCAAGCTTTTTCCAGCATGTGGGCATACCAACACGTGGAAACAACACGCTGGACCATGTTTACACGAACGTAAAAGATGCATACAAAGCCGAACTTCGCCCCCACCTAGGACTGTTAGACCACATGTCAATCTTAATGATACCTGCTTACTTCCCCCCGCTGAGATGCTTCAGACCGGTACAAAAGAAAGTTAAATGTTGGATCCAGGACAGTGGCCCCATACTGAGAGATTGTTTTGATCGAACAGACTGGCAGGTTTTCAGAGAAGCTGCTGAAAATGGAGATTTGCTTGATCTGGACCAATACACATCCTCAGTTCTGGGTTACACTTATATGTACTGACACCATCTCCACCATCAGATATGTTAAAATCTACCGAAACAGAAAACACTGGATCAGCTCTTTACCCTCACTAAGGTCCTCGAGGGGTCATGTAAGTTTGCCCATCTAGTCTACATGTGTTTTGTGGACTTGGAGAAGGCATTCGACCGTGTTCCTCGGGGTACACTGAGGGGGGTGCTCCATGAGTATGGCATTGGAGGCCCATTGCTATAGGCCGTTTGGACTCTATACCATCGGTGTGAGAGTTTGGTTTGCATTGCTGGTAGCAAGTTGGACCCCTTCAGGGTGAGAGTGGGACTCTGCCAGGGCTGCCCATTGTCATTGATTCTTTTCATAACTTTTATGGACAAAATTTCTTGGTGCAGCCAGGAGGTAGAGGGATTCGGGTTCGGGGGCCTCGAGATTACATCTTTGCTCTTTGCAAATAATGTGGTCCTGTTGATGTCATCATGTAGTGACCTCTAGCTCTCACTGGAGCGGTTCGCAGCCGAGTGTGAAACGGCTGGGATGAGAATCAGCACCTCCAAATCTGAGGCCATGGTCCTCAGTCAGAAAATCATGGCTTGCTCTGTTCGGGTTGAGGGTGAGGTTCTGCCTCAAGTGGGGGAGTGGTGACACAGAGGTTATAGAAGATGGGCCAGTGATCGGAATGTCGTAGGTTCAACTCCTGGTACCATCAACATCAAAATGTGAGTAGAAAAGTTGAAACACCCACAGCTGCCTCCACCCTCATTTGCCACTCTCTGGGCTCCTGAGCAAGGCCCTCAACCCCCACCATCTGCTCCCTAAACAGGTCTTTCTTGAAAATGAGTTCCCGTGGCTCAATGAGACTACCTGTATAAATAAAGGGTAAATTAAAAAAATTAAAAAATAAATACTTTTTTTTTAAAAGTGGAGGAGTTCAAGTATCTCAGGGTTTGTTCACAAGTGAGGAAAGAATGGAGCGTGAGATTGACAGACGAATTGGTGCAGTATTGTGGAATCTCTATTGGTGTTGTGCCACAAAGTGATGGTCTGCCAAAAATTGAGTTGCACCGTGAGAGAACGCACGAGAGGACTCGTTGTTTCAGTTCTTCAAAATTTAACAAGATTAGCACCTAAAAACAATTGTGTATTTGCTTGAAATTATAGCAAAGTTTTGTCCAATTACCTTGTCCTTAATAAATGCACTTTAATGGTAAAAGCTTCCTTTCGCCTGCCTGCCAAAGATCGATTACGAGCTGGCATTGATTATGCCTTGTAATTTAACAGAATTTAACAAGATTAGTACCTAAAAACAATTATTTGGTTGCTTGCGATTATAGCAAAGTTGTGTCTTTGTTTACTTTTTCCTTAATAAATGCACTTTAATGGTTAAAAAAGCTTCATTTCGCCTGCTTGTTAAATTATGAGCCGTAGTTGATTTTTGCTAACTCATAATCGATCTTTGGCAGACAGGCGAAATGAAGCTTTAATTTACCATTAAAGCACATCTATTAAGGAAAAGGTAAACAAAGATACACCTTTGCTATAATCTTGAGCAAACAAATAATTGATTTTGGGTGTTAATCAGAATCAGAATAGAATCAGAATAAGCTTTATTATCATGGTACTGAAATACAGTGAGATTATGTTCGTACAGTTGTCGGAAAGATGGGCAGAGTGCAGATCACTGTTGCTACAAAGCACTGCCCCTTATTATTTATCTGAATACTTCTAGATAGAAAAAGGGTAATAACCATGAGGATAGATAGTGGCATTACAAAAAAAGATCTCTTTACATCTTGTCCTATCAGGACACAATTTGAGACATAAAAAAACCCACTCTACCAGCAAGCATATTTATAGACGCATTACATATGCGTTTGACTTCAAGGTAATGAGATTTGTCCATGGGCATTTTCAGATAGGCCACAGTTTTGATGATGTTGTTTCAGCTGGCAGTTCTGATAAGCCTGCACAGAAGTTCAAAGCAAAGCTTTTGTCCCTAGTTTGTCCCTAGTTACCCATGTTCCAGGAGAAATTTGATAGTCAGCTCGTATCCGAGGCCAAACGGGAGAGTCAGATTCAGATAAGCCACAATTGTTGATTTTTCTTCAGGCAGACTGTTTTTCCTCATCAGCCTTGAGTCCTGCTGGAACTTTCCGGATCAAAATGGCCAAATTTATGGGTATCCACTCCACTGATCCGTGTTATGAGCCTTCTTCAAGATCGATCCCCACATGCTGACGAGTCCTAGGAGCCGAAGGAGGCCTGCGATTCTCAGAAATCGCCTCCATTTTACGATTTAGCTTGTAAATCAGCTGATTTTGAGTACTCGTAGCACGAACCAAAACTTTGCACTGACTCAGAAGCTTTGTCATGGCTGAAACTGCTGCCGAGGTCTTCTTTAAAAGTCGATAAAACAGAGCCACGCCGATGCCAAAGAGCAGAACCCTTGCTATCATAAATCCAAATATATAAACATCTTCGGCATCCTCCTGAGGCAGGACTAAGAGGCACATAAGCTGCCAAACTCACCACTGATCTCTGACGTACCCCGTAGTGTGAGTCTGAGCCAGACAAGAGGGTTCTCCAGGGCCCTGTCATTTTGTTGAAAAGATTTGTTGATTGCGTTGAAAGTCCAGCTCACCAGATCCATAATCATATTTTTCGTTCGGGAGATGTGTACCAGGAGCTTCAAACACACAGTGAGCAAAGCAGGAGGAAGCAGAGAATGGGGGAGGGAGAGCAGGTGCATCTGCCTTGATCAAGAGCCAGAGTAGATCTGCCAGAGTAGAATCTTATTAAGCTTTGAAGAACTGAAACAGCTAGTGCGCGCAAATAAATTTTTTTGGCAGTCCATCTGTCCGTTGTGGTGAAGTGGGAACTGAGCTGTAAGGCAAAGCTCTCTTTTTTCGGTCCATCTAAGTTCCTACTAGGGCTGGGCAATATCTTGATATTTATAAAATATTGAGATAATTTCATTTACGATATAGAGACTATTTCGATATAAAAGATAAAGTGTTATACTTAAAAATCTGCCTGCTCTCTTCTCTTCCTCCCAAGTGGCCCCTCCTCTCTCTCTCTCAGCCAAGCCCCTCACCTGCTCTCTCCATTTACTGCTTCTCCAGGTGGGGTGGCACCACCAGCATGTAGCAGCCACAATAAAGCCCCTTTTCCATGGTATCTTATCAGCATGACTCGACTCAGTTCGGTATTCTTTTGAGCCCTTTTCCACTAGCACTTTTTTGTGGAACTGGCACCTTTTTTGCTCCCTTCCTCTCAAGGGTACCAACCGAACCGAGCCGACACAAAAACGTGATGTCAGAACATTGTCGGTCACTGATTGGTCAGGGGGCGGAGTCACTAGAGGGGTTTGAGAATTTTCAAAACATTTGATCTGCCATTTACAATTACTGGTGTTTGAACTTAAGGAACGATTGGACCTATTTTTAAGCTTTTAAAAATAATAATGACAACATTGTGGTCTAATGCTGAAGTGCAGGCGTTCTTTGTGCTTGGTGGCCGACAACAAAAGCTAGCTAGATGGAACTTTGCCGGTCCTCGACTTTTCCTGGTCCTCTTCACCGGAGCCTTGGAGAGCCCCCTCAGGCAATGCAGGGCATCATCTCCCCAGCTTTGCGATCCGCTGGTCACCATGGAGGATCATATGAGCTGCTGACTCGCAGAAGGCCATTTCCCGGATCCCGGCCTCGTTTTCTCATGAAGGCCGATCCCGGCAGATGGGCAGACCGGGACGAGTCTGGGATTGAGGGTGGAAACGATTTTTAAAAACATGTTATGTATTAAAATAAGATGTATTTTTTTTGTCATTGAAGATTTAAAATAAATCAATAAACAGTGCCGGCTTTATAATGAAATGCTGTTTTCACTTTAATGGCTATTAGATAATCTGTTAAGTTAACTCAGCTGAAAAATTATAAAAAGACACAAAATTATTGGATCTCTCAAGACTATTTCCCTCGAATATATTTAAAAAAGAGCTACGGCCTTTAGTTAAACTTTATTCTAACCTACAAATGTACAAATCACAAAACAAGATCTTTAAAGCAAAGCTCAAAATAAAAAAAATATAAATATGAACAAGTAACAAAACCACACATCTAAACTGAACAATAAAAGTAGACACAATGAGTGTAAATACATCAAACGATGAAGAAAACATACAACATTTTAAATATAGATATTTTTGTTGAATCTGGCTCATCAGAGATTTAATGGTGAACTAAAGTTCATTAAAAGTTCATTAGATATATATATATATATATATATATATATATACTGTATATATATGTTTAATTTGATCATTTTAATAATCTGTATTATATTATTATAGTCCCCGTGACCCAAAGTGGAGGAAGCGGGTAAAAGATAATGGATGGATGGATATTATTATAGTATTATACTATTATATTGCTTTTTTACTATTAGTGTTTAGCATATTCTTAAGGCCCCCACATACTCGGGTGTACTTCATGCCACGAAGGTCCGCGTGTACTCTAGGTGGACTCAAAGTGGACGTCCGCCGGACATGTCTGCACAAAGAAAACTTTTTATGACCGCTTACGTGTACTTGGTGTCACACAATAAACTGCCCGACAATGGTGTTCACATCAAACTGCTTTGTATGTGACACCAACCGCTCTCTGTGTTCTGAGCAACCAGTCGCAAGGATGCGCAGCACGATTGCCGCATTCTGTGCAGGACTGACAGTTGTGCAATGGCTGCCCTGGTGCTCCTGCACGGTGAAGATTGATATGGTGTCGTTGTGAGCTGTTTTGTGTGCAGTGGCTTCCTCTGGTGGCTCTTCCTCAAAATGGGCAAAGAAATGGTTCAGTATGTCACCTTCAGCAGCTCCAAGACTGGTCTAATAGTTAGTGACATGCTGGATTCCTTGCCAAATTTGTGCATGTGCTTCTCGATCTTTCTCTTGTTGTCCCACTTGGCCTTCCTGATGCCCTGCTGTAGTATGGTATGTGCCATGCTGTAGTGGACCTGGTCCCCAGACCCGAAAGCAGTTTTCCTCTTCTTTAATAGCTGCTGGACCTCTCTGGTCATCTAGGACTTTGATTGGGACATACACGGATGCGTTTTTCCACAGTGACAATCGTGCAGATCTTAACACAGTTTACTGTTTGTGAATAATTCCAGGTCTGGATGTTCAAAAATATCCCAGTTAGTTTTGTCAGCTGCTGAGAGGTACCATATAATCAAGTTGTTATAGTTTCTTTTGTGATAAGTGCAGATTTCCAGAGAATGATGTATGCAGGAATCAATAGCAAAAGGAGAGTACCAAGCTGCTGTAACTGCATGCGCTGCCATCTGGAACTGAGTTGTCAATTCAAGATAGCAGTTGAAGCATGTTTTAATATTTGCAGCGTGGTTAATTCATGGAGTTTCACGAAACAAATTGTTAGATGAGACTGCTGGTTGGTTGATTAAGTTTAAAGTCCATGCTTGTGAGCCTTCTGAGATCTTATTTAAAAACATCATGAAGCAAAGCCCTCACCTTCTGCTGTTAAATGCTCTTTTATCTTCTGCATTTTGTTTCAGTTTCTACAGGTTTAGTTTTGTACAGCTTCTTTATAATGTTTACTTGAAACATTTTTGTTCTTTCTTGTGTCTGCTTCCTGCAGCTCTATAAGGACCAGAGTAGGAATAGTGAAAATATATCCCATAAGTCCTCAGACAGTGATGTCAGTGATGTGTCAGCCATCTCTCGAACCAGCAGTGCCTCTCGCATCAGTAGCACCAGCTACATGTCCATCCAGTCAGAGAGACCTCGGGGCCGCTTCAGGTACCCCCACTTCCTGGTCCATCATGTTCTCGCTGTAACTATGACTTTACTAATGTTTTGTAAATCGTGACCCGCAGCCGAGCTCTGCGTGCATCAGGCCGTCACATGATGAAGAGCACCAGTGTGAGTGGTGAGATCTACGGCACAGAGCATGCCGACGGCAGCCAGTCGGACACTGCGCTTGGGAGCTTGGGGAGTGGGATCAAAAAGCGGCGCTCCAGTTTAAGCCAACGTGTTGTTGCCATCCTGCCATCAAGACGGAGCCGGAGTACCTCCCAGCTCAGCCAGACAGGTCAGAGACAAGACTGAATGAAAGATATCCTTACCCCTTCTTAAAGGGAACAGGGATGAGCAAACAATCTGATACATTCTAGAAAAAAGTTTCTTTGTTAATTAACATGTTACTTAAAAATAACATAACTTCCTTTTATACTTAACCAAAGTTAACTTCCAACAGAAATCTGATGCATCATCAGTGACAAATTTGATTTATTAATGTCTGACAACCCTTTTATGGGTTTGAATGTTACAGAAAAAGCTTGGCCATATTAAATAGAATTTATGTTTAAAACTAATGAATAATTCATATTTTACTAAGAGTTATTCTAACCTCAGATAGGACCATCATGGTCACTGCTGTCTAAAAATTACTCCAGTCTCCACTTTGAACTGGCCCTCCAGAAATACAACTAGAAGGAATTTTTTTTATATCTTTGCTAAAAATAACTGTGCAATACAAATTTAAAGGCAATGTTTAGATTTGTTTTAATCAAAGTCTTTTTTTTTCAGAACTCGCATTCAAAACAAAGACAAACAAAACACACACAACAAAATCCCCTCCAACCCCACCCCTCCCACACTGGATCTGCCACACATACACACACACACACACACACACACACACACACCAGACAGACATTTATGACAACTACACAATACCATATGCTGACATACTGTAATTGCCGATCTATAGAGTGCACTCGAGTATAAGCCGCGCACAGTAAATAAAAAAATAATATTTTTACATACATAAGTCATGCCAGTGTAATCTTCAGCTGTTCACGTTGAATCTCTGACTCACACAAAAAGATATTTTAAACTTTTAATTAAATACGTACCAGTAGCATACACAAATATATACAGTACAGTAAATGTTTTATTCTGAACAACGTCTTTAACAAGGCTGGTTAAAACAAAATACAGTAGCTTACCAGGAAGACAGTAATTGCTATTTTCAAGCTGTTCCACAGAGCACAAAGTGCTCTGCGCATGTAGGGAAATACCCCCTCATGGGGAAGGAGGGATCCCCCCCCCCGCCCCACACACACACACACTCCCTGTTCTCACTTCCCCTCCCTGTTTCATTGGTTCGACTGTGACCTGTTCTGTAATTTCATTGATCAGACTTTTTATAACCTTTAATTATACAGCTAGTCACATTGAGTCACAAGGACCACCCCCACCCCCACCCCCACCCCACCCACCCAAGAGAGATGTGTAGTGGGCAGCTATGTGGGTGCCCGGGTGTGACAAGGCTAAATATTTTGGCGCCATAAAGCTCGTTAGCCCGTCTCAAAAAAAACCCCAAAAAACATAAAGTAGCTGCAGCATTGTATAAGCCACAGGGTTCAGCACATGCAAAAAAAGTGGTGGTTTATATTCCGGAAATTATGGCACTTTCAATATAAGATATAAATTGCTACCAAGTGTCCCAAAATCACTCAATAAATCATTTCACAATATATCTAATCGTTTCCAAATGAATATGACACATGAATTCTCTTATCCAGTGTTCATATGCCAGGGGATACGGATCCTTCCATCTGCATAAAATAAGTCTCCTGGCTAGAAGAAAGCTTCTCGTACCTGATAAAGGATGTATCCACAAGGACTACACCAAACAATGAAATGAATGGTGACGGGTACACACTTTTTCCACATATCCCAGAGGAAGTGTCAAAAATAAAGTGCCAATAGCCCCGCAGCTTTGGACAAGTCCAGAATGTGTGTAAGAGCTTAGCTGGAGTTTGTTTATCGTGGGTACATGCAGGATCCAGGTCAGTTTTAAACTTGGACAGTTTGTTTTACCACCTTATATTGAATTACAGCGTGTCTCACACAGATTGAGGATGAGTAAATGTTCTGAATGATCTTTCACCAGACTATGGATTCCTCAAGTCCATTTCCTATTTCAGCTTAAGACGGTCTAAGCTGGTCTCATGGTATGAACTGAGAAGTGTATAGATCAGGGGTGGGCAAACTTTCGGACTCGCAGGCCACACTGAGTTTTAAAATTGGAACGAAGGCCCGGGCCAGGAACAGATGGATGGAGTGTTTGTGTGATGTTATACCCCAGCGCAATAACAGCTGCCGGGACACTATTAATTATGGGTGATTCCACTTTCTGCACCACTCAAGCAGCCACTAAGTCAGGATTATATGATAGAACCGTGATTTTATTTACAACAGTGAAATTATTGACTTTGTGGAGTCTTACCAACTTCAGGCCCAAACAACAAACAAAACAAACCACTGTATTTTCTCTTTACCAGAAGAAAAATAAAATTAACCAAACCACACGTCTCTTACCTCACTATGCTAATGGAATACAGGAGAAAAGTCAAAATAAAATGTCAGCTCACCTCTCCTCACAAAACTTTTTACAACTATGGGCTCTAAAGTTGATGACAGGTCAGCTGTGGCAGGTTACCATACCATACCATACCACTTTATTTATAAAGCACTTAAAACAGCAACAAGGCCAACCAAAGTGCTGTACAGACAAAACAACAGGTAACACACAAAGCAAAATACAAAATGAGGTAAATCAGAATATACACAAAAACCGATGCAGATAATGACGACAAACCAGTGTGGAGCATACAGGATCAAAACACAGATCATCTTGTGTTGAAAGCTATTGAATAGTAGTGAGTTTTTAAACGGGACTTGAATACCGAGAGGGAGGGGGCCTGTCTGACAATCAGAGGTAACTCGTTCCAGAGTCTTGGTCCTGCTACAGAGAAGGCCCTGTCACCTCTGCGCTTAAGACGAGTTCCTGGAACTGTGAGGAGCAACTGGTCCGCTGACCTCAGGGAGCATGGTGGGACATACGGTTGTAGCAAATCAGAGAGATGGGGGGGGGGGGGGGGCGCGACACTGTTCAGTGATTTGTAGACATACATGAGTATTGTGAACTGGATTCGAAAGTGAACCGGTAACCAGTGCAGTGAGGCCAAAACTGGTGTAATGTACTCTCTTTTGTCTGTACTGGTTAAAAATCGTGCTGCTGCATTCTGGACCAGTTGTAGTCGTGCAATGGAGGTATGACTGATACCAAACAGGAGCGAATTGCAGTAATCAAGCCTAGATGTAATGAATGCATGTATTACTGTCTCCAGGTTCTTTTTGGACAATATGGGCTTCAGTTTAGACAACCGCCTCAGTTGGAAGAAGCATGATTTAACAATCATGTTTACATGATTGTTAAGTTTCAGGGAAGGGTCCATTATCACGCCCAGATTAGTGACTCGTTGTTTTTCTGACAGGGTTAGAGCGGAAAGGTCGATGCAGTGGTTTGTGATCGTGTCGTTGGGAGGGAACAACATGACTTCAGACTTCTTTTCATTGAAACTTAAGAAGTTTAAAGCCATCCAGTCCCTGATGTCAGCCAGGCAGTTGAGCAGCAGTTGAATAGAGCATGTACCATTGTGTCTTAGGGGGAAGTAAATTTGACAGTCATCGGCATAGAAGTGGAAGGGCATGTTGTGTTTCTGGAAAATAGCACCAAGCGGCAGCAGGTATAAAGAGAATAGGAGGGGACCCAGTATGGACCCCTGAGGAACCCCCCATTTAAGCTCTGCCTCTGCGGAACTAAAATCCTTGATGGAGACACAAAAGGATCTGTCAGTGAGGTAAGATCTGAACCAATTGAGGGCTGATCCTGTGGCTCCCACCCACTGCTCCAACCTAGCAATGAGGATCTCATGGTCAATGGTGTCAAAGGTGGCTTTGAGGTCCAACAGGACAAGCAGCACAGAATCACCGGTATCTGTGAATCTGAAGATGTCGTTAAAGACCTTCAGCAGGGCAGTTTCAGTGCTGTGGAGAGGTTTAAAGCCAGATTGGAAAAGCTCTAAGATGGCGTGATCCTCCAGGAAGCACTTCAACTGGGACTCGACTATTTTCTCCAGTACTTTAGAAACAAATGGGAGTTTGGAGACAGGCCGGAAGTTGGAAACGAGTGAGGGGTCAAGGTTTGTTTTTTTTCAGGAGAGGCTGGACGGCAGCATGTTTAAAGGTTTTTGGCACCACGCCAGTGGATAAACTACTGTTTACTATGGCAAGAATAGATGGACCTAGAGTAGGAAACACCTCCTTTAGTAGTCGAGGGGGGACCACATCAAAGGGGGAGCCAGAAGGTTTCAAGATGCACATGACCTGCTCTAGAGAAGATAGAGTGATGGGTTCAAAATGGTCAAAAGGAGCTACAGACTGAGGTGGGATGGATGGGTCATGAGTTGGAGGGGAAATGAGAGCCCTGGTGGTCGCAATTTTTTCCACAAAGAAATGTAGGAAGTTGTCGCACAGCTCAGTCGAGGCTTCCAGAGGTGATGATTCAGTGAGGTGGAGAACAGAGTTTAGGGTGGAGGACACGTGGGTTGTGAGAGTTTGAGGTAATTATATCAGAGAAGAATTTTGATTTTGCAGCTTTTACTGTTTTCTGATAACAGCGCCAGCTCTCTTTAAGTATTTGGAAAGAGACCTGCAGCCTCTCTTTCCTCCACTTTCGCTCCGTCCTCCTACATTGCTGCCTAGCGGCCTTGGTAACGTCACTCAGCCAAGGTTCTGCTTTCAGTTTTGATTTTTTGGTTTTAACAGGTGCAACATGATCCATAGTCCATGGATCCATAGGTTGGGAATGAAAGCAGACATCATCCTCCTGCAGCTCCTCTATGCAGCATCACAACAGAGTACCTGGACAATAATTCACACATGTTTTTGTCTTTCACTTTTTTTTTGATAGTTCACACACAATTAACAGTTTCACACACGCACACACAAAGCATGACTTACAGTGATTCCTGATGAATCTAATAAAGTTAAATCTGGTCCTCTGGACATTCAAAAAACAAAACAAAGCAAAACAAGCAAAAAAATATAGAAACGTTTCGTCTCATCCGAAAGACTTCCTCAGTCTGAGGTGCTGTATTCAGCTCAGTCTTATAAATAGCACCTTCTCAGAGTGGATCAACCAGTTTTGCTGCTGACAACCAAAACCAGCTGCTCACATGCTCAAGAAGGACCATCAGCCTAACAATGGATCATTAGCACACTGATGGCTGTTTACTGTTCACAGAGGGCTGAGTGATACTAGCAATCACAGCATTGTAAGAGGGGGACAGTTGAACCCGGAGGCCTCCACCCCTGTTTAATGATGGACGGTTTCTTTTCACAAAGATGGCCTCCTTTACTCCTCTCTCAAACCATTGTTCCTCACTGTCCAGGATGTCAACATCTTCATCCCTGAAAGAGTGACCGCTGGCCTGGAGATGAGAGTAGACCACAGAGTCCTGGCCTGATGTTGTTGCTCTTCTGTGCTGGTCCATCCTTTTGGCCAGTGGCTGTTTAGTTTCCCCGATGTAAGACTGATCACAGCCCTCCTGACACTGAACAGCATACACAATATTACTCTGTTTGTGCCGGGGGACTGGATCTTTGGGATGAACCAGTCTTTGCCGTAATGTATTTTGGGGTTTAAAAGCCACTGGGACATTGTGTTTAGAAAATAAACGTCTCAGTTTCTCTGATACTCCCTCAACATATGGAATGACCACTGGTCTGGGTCTGGGTTCCTCCTTTTCACCTGATGGCTGACTGGAGTCCTGTTTGGGTTTCTTCTCTGCTTTCAGGAAGGCCCAGTTAGGAGATCCACATTGCTCTAGAGCCTGTCTTGTGTGGGATTTCTCCTTCTGCCTGGCTCCTGAGTTAGTGGGTACGCTGTCTGCTCTGTGATACAGAGTCCTGATGACTCCCAACTTGTGCTCCAAAGGGTGATGGGAGTCAAACTGCAAATACTGGTCTGTGTGGGTGGGTTTGCGGTACACCTCGGTTTGCAAATGTCCTCTATCAGAGACTGATGATATAAGGAACATTAAACAAATAATAATAATAATAATAATTTGTAACTTGTACTCATTTATAGAATAAAACCACCAGAAACTAAAGAGAGACCCTTCAGGGGGCAGGTAGACTCCAGCAGCCTCTACATCTATCCACTCTAACCCTTAAGTATTTACACTCTCACATGAACTGTTTTTATCAGTAAAACCCGCACGTGCGTTGAAAATGTATTTGATTTGATTGGACTGACAGTACTACATTTTAATCTGTAAAAACAGTAAGACACTGCCCTCGTCTGGTTAAATGTTTTCATTGTCTGGTGGAGATTTACAATTCAATTTAATTGTTTATTTATACAGCGCCAAGTCACAACAGAAGTCATCTCAGGGCACTGAACAGAAACATTTTACCAACAGGATCAATAATTTCTCTCAACTGAGCAGTAAAGTGTTTCTATTCTATTCTATCCTATTCTATTCTATTGTAAGGTCAGCAACAGGATTCTCTACTGGCGTTCCTAAACTACCAGCGTCACTAAAACTTTACAGACTGTCTGACTTTACAAACATCCATCCATCCATCCATCCATTTTCTTTACCCGTTTATTCCATTTTTGGGTCACGGGGGTCGCTGGTGCCCATGTCCAGCAATCACTGTGCGAGGGGCGGGGTACACCCTGGACGGATCGCAAGTCCATCACAGGGCCACATAGAGACAAACGAGACAAACAACCATTCACTCTCTCACTCACACCTAGGGGCAATTTAGAGTTACCAATCAGCCTAACATGCATGTTTTTGGTCTGTGGGAGGAAACCGGAGTACCCGGAGAAAACCCACGCATGCACGGAGAGAACATGCAAACTCCACCCAGAAAGGCCCCCGGACCGGGGTTTGAACCAGGGACCTGCTCGCTGAGAGGCAGCAGCTCTACCAGTTGCGCCACCGTGCTACTTTACAAACACAGATGATTAAAATAAATAAAATCATCTTTCAAGACCTAAGTTGATCCCTGTAAGATGATTGATGCATGTGAGGGTGTGGGTGTTCTAATGCAGATGCTTTTTCTTGTTTTCTTTAAATATTTCACGGCACTGTGGGTGAAAGTAGGACTCTCTCTGTGTACATTGAATTAAAGTGAGCTGAATTAAAGGTTTTAATTTAGGTTTTAATATTTAAATATGTTTTGCTTCTCATCTGAGGATATCCTCAGATGTTCTTCAAATTACCACAGTTACCATGACTGAGACTGACAACCTGCACCAACACATTCATGACTTCAGGTTTCTGTTCAATGTGTGTTACTCTGCGTCTACATTGATTTCCTAAAACCAATGGAGCTGTTTAATGATCAGGAAGTCAGTCTGCTGTGTTCATATAGGACTCATGATGGGAACTGCACTTAATTTGAAAACAAAATGAAAATGATCTGTTTTTGTCAGCATTGAATTGTCTGCACACGTTCACTGATTCTCTGCTCCTGTGGTTTGATTGTCAAACATAGTGTCTATAATCTTTGTGGGGATATTCAAGAAAGCAGGTTGTGAGTAAATGCACCCTGGGTTTTCTGTTTCAGAAAGAGAGCTGAGTGAAACCATTAGGTCTGTCACCATAGTAACAGATTCAGGTCTGTCACCATGGTAACATATTCAGTTCTGTCACTGTGGTAACAGATTCAGATCTGTCACCATGGTAACATATTCAGTTCTGTCACCATAGGAACAGATTCAGATCTGTCACTGTGGTAACATATTCTGTAAATTCCTCCCACCTGAAGAAAATGAGCTGTTCATTCTTAACAAATCTGACAGATATTAAAGCAGGATTACTTCATGATGTCTGACGTTGGGAGTTTTCCTCATTTAGATTGAATTTACTTTGATTCCCAGATGTTTGTTGTTTGTTTGATCTGTATTACTTTAATTCTCAGACCTCGCATATCATAGATAATAAAACATCTCGGTGGTTTGTTCTCATTTGGGACAAATTTTAATCACACCGAGATATAATTTGCAGAAATTAATTTGCTGAATAAAACATCACCACAAAATGACAAAATGATTTGCATTTATTTTGTATTTCTCACAGTCCTACAAATGCATCAGTTTCAATTTAAAAATGCTTTCTGACAGTAAACGTCTTAAACTTTCAACCAGTGCTCCAGAAATTTAATTTCCCGATTCTGCAGTTAAATTACCGAGTTTCCATCTCTGAGTTTTAATTTTCCTAAAGTCCATCAGGCTAAAAAGCCCCAAAACCTTCTACCCCACTCCATATTTTTAAAACAGACTGAATATCTTTGATAGGAACTGAATCTTAAGATCAATTAATTAGTGTTCATTAATGTAATTTTTAAAAATCATGGCAATGTAAAACGTGAAATGTTAAACTCTTTCCACTCTACAAGCTCATAAATCAAAACATCATTTAAATAATAAAATATATATATATATATATATATATATATATATATATATATATATATACATATCATTTTTTTAGATGATTGTTTCCTCTGGTATCAGATGCTGCGCAACTGGAAAGATTTTTACTGAAACTTTTTTTTAGTTTTGGACATTTGTTATGATGCTCAACCATGGCAACAAGACAGTTTTCTACAACCACCAGCAGCTGATTAACATCTCAAAAGCTCAAAAAATATCTCAACTACAGCCCCAAATCTCAAATGAGTTGAAAATGATGTTCTGTGGACTCATTCTCATCTACCTGCCAGCTGTGCTCGAGTGCCTGACCACTGAGATCCTGGAACTAGCAGGAAACATGGCTCGTGACAGTGGAAGGACGGGATCGTCCCTCGGCACCTACAGTTGGCTGTCTGCAGAGACGAGGAGCTCGGCAGACTGCTGGGAAGAGTGGCCATCGCTCTGGGAGGAGTTCTGCCCAGCATATGAGCGGTCCTACAGCCCGGGGGAACCGAGAGGCCAGCCGAGTCTGGGTGGATGGCTCAGATGGCATCTGCAGCCAGTTTCTTAGGATCCACTGTGGGATGGACCTTTACAAGAGATCCTTCCTGTCTACAGCATCAGCATCTATAACATCTCTCAATGAAATGAGGATAACGAGTTACAACAACAAATAATTTCCCTTTGGGATTAATAAACTATTTTTGAATTTTGAATTGAATTTTGAATATATATATATATATATATATATATATATATATATATAAGGAAACTAACTCAAGCATTATTAAAACAGTCATCATGAATTAAAGCTCTGGGAGAAACTAAAGTGTTTAGCTGAGCTATGACATCAAGTTGTACTGTGCATGCTACTTAACGTATTAGAAATGGCCTAACCCTGTTTTTGTTGATGTTGTTGCCATGATGAATTGTTGTATAAGAGTTTAACTTGAGGTTAAGATATTCTGAGCTATATCATCAGTCTTTCTGGAACTAAAGCTCAGAGTGCAAATCTAAACTCAAAGTTTTTAAACCTTCTTTCTTGAATATCCCATTGAGAAAGTCCTCTTTAGATGTTTTAAAGACATTTTAGGCTCAAAGTATCTTCATACAGAAAAATCTGCTCCTTTAAATGTTTTCACTGAACAGAATCACACCATCCACACACAGATTTGTACGTTAAGTCTGATGACTATGATCACCAAGCCCTGAAGACTCATTGAAGACATGTGGGATTGTTGTTGTTTATCGGTCTTGTTGTTGTTGTGTGTTATTTCAGAGGCGGCGGGTAAGGCGGCGGACAGACAGAAAGGTAAAGCAAAAGGAAGGAGCTCAACCACAGTAGATACAACATGTAGTGGTTACTTGTCCTCAGACACATCAACTGTAAAGCACCAAAGCATCAGACGCCACTCTTTTATTTTTCCCCAAGACTTCCTGTTAATAAGTCCTTAATAAAACATCACAGCAGCCAGGAAGCAGACGCACACAGAGGTGAAGGAACACTGCAGACATGTAGGCACAGAGAGAATGAGCACAAACAGAAAAGTGTTTCCTGATGAGCCCTTCCTGAACTCTGTCTCTGGCATCCTTACTCCACCCTCCTGTCACCTTTTAGTCTGAAGGTCGGTTCAGTCCAACAACAAGCCTTATACGACTTTAATAACAGTTCCAACAGTAACTTTTCATTTCTGATGAAGAATTCAACTTGTGTTAAAGAGGAAACGTAAGACTTGTTATGTGCTGAAGCCTTCCTTTATGTTTGAGCTGTTTAATTTCCTCAGCCCTTTACAACCTCTGTTTATCTTCACATCCCTGTCAGATATGACGAAAAGTTTTTATTTTTTAAAATATTTCTCTTGTGACCTCATCACCAAAAGTAAGACTTTGTTCTACCTTTAGTTCCAGGTCGGGTGATCCATGTGGCTTGTTTTCTCAGCTGAAGATATTTGTGTTGTGTAAAAAAAATAAAAAAATTTGCTTTAAATTTGTTGATGAGGTCATCATGAGATGTGATTTTTGCATGATGGAATCATCCTCAAGTTATCAGGCTTGTCCAAGTTGCTGCGGTGAATTTCAAAGAAGAGATTTAATTGAACCCTTTCAAAACTCAAAACTTCTGTATCTGTTGTGTAGCAGCTCAGTTCAGGTGAGAGGCCTGATAACTAACGGGAGTCTTGGTTGGTTAGACATGATGCTGGATTCTCACCACTTCCTTACGTTTTACCACAGAGGCATCAGCAGGGAAGAAGGCGAGTAAAGCCAGCAGCAGCAACATCCAGAGGAGCGTGGAGACGGGTATGGCTGTGGAGTACCCACGAGGAGGGTCCTCCATGAACCGGCAGGCCAGCAGGGAGTCCACTGATGGAAGCATGAACAGCTACAGCTCTGAGGGGAAGTACGTACACTTACACAGTATTCACAGTACAGTCATAGTACTTACTCTCTTATCCTAAAATCATAGTATCGTTGTAGTACTGACTCTAACCCTAAAATCGTAATACAGTCTTAGTACTGACTCTCTAATACTAAAATATAGTACAGTCGTAGTACTAACACTCTAATCCTAAAACCATAGTATAATCGTAGTACTGACTCTTCAATACTAAAATCACAGTACAGTCATAGTACATCCATCCATTATCTTTACCCGCTTATTCCATTTTGGGTCATGGGGGTCGCCGGTACCCATGTCCAGCAATCACTGTGCGAGGGGCGGGTACACCCTGGACGGGTCGCAAGTCCATCACAGGGACACATAGAGACAAACGAGACAAACAACCATTCACTCTCTCACTCACACCTAGGGACAATTTAGAGTTACCAATCAGTCTAACATGCATGTTTTTGGTCTGTGGGAGGAAACCGGAGTACCCGGAGAAAACCCACGCATGCACGGAGAGAACATGCAAACTCCATCCAGAAAGGCCCCTGGACCGGGGTTTGAACCAAGGACCTGCTCGCTGAGAGGCAGCAGCTCTACCAGTTGCACCACCGTGCTGCCAGTCATAGTATAGACTATCTAATACTAAAAATATAGTACAGTTGTAGTACCGACTCTCTAATCCTAAAATCACAGTACAGTCATAGTACTGACTCTCTAATACTAAAAACATAGAACAGTCATAGTACTGACTCTAACCCTAAAATCGCAGTAGAGTCAGAGTACTAACTCTTTAATCCTAAAATCACAGTACAGTTGTACTCACTAACCCTAAAATCACAGTACAATCATAGTACTGACTCTCTAATACTAAAAACATAGTACAGTTGTAGTACTGACTCTCTAATCCTAAAATCACAGTACAGTCATAGTACTGACTCTCTAATACTAAAAATATAGTACAGTTGTAGTACTGAGCCTCTAATACTAAAATCACAGTACAGTCATAGTACTGACTCTTTAATACTAAAAC